AAATCCCGACAGGAGGATGGAGAAAGGACTGTGGCATGACTACCCCCATGGGGGGAGGGTGATTCTCATTTGCTTTCTGTGTGTGTGTGTGTGTGTGTGTGTGTGTACGTGTGTGCATCTGCCAACCACACACACCCTATAGAAAACTAGAGGAAAAGAAAAAGAGTCTCTGGATCTCTGAATACTTTGGCCCACACTTAAGCTCCAGCCCTGAAATGGGAAAGCTGGGGACTGCCATACTGATGACGCCCAGCCTAGAGACAGGCTCAATACTGGGAAGCCATCAGCGCACGAGGAGCAGCCCGGCGGGTTGTGCGGGTGTCGGCAGAGAGCTGTATTTAGCCAGGGCTGTGGTTTCGCAAAGACAGGACAAACGCAGGGAAGCCGAGGGAACCGAGGGCGGACACGGCGAGTGATTCTGAAGAGCCAGCCCGGACTCTCGCAGGCAGGAGGACCTTTCTGTGCTCACAGGTATCCCGGTTCTCCAAAGCCCTCTTCTCCCACCTCTGGACACCAGGTGGAGAAGCACTTTTCTGTCCATCTGAGGTTGGGTTTGGCCAAGTGAGCAGCTCTGGCCAATTAGAGGGCAACAGATCCTAGCTGAAGCCCTGACTTGCCAGTGAGACCTCCCAGCGTTCTCCTTTCCCTCTGGCCAGCATTGTTTGGGATGGTGACTTTTCCATTAGCCAGGGTCTCTAAGGGACTGTGGTAAGTATATACCTCTGTTGACTCATCACATTTAAGTAATATGGACAAGAAGTCAACTTTTATTGTGTTAAACTTAAAACGTGAGCCACAGGCCCAGCTGGAGCAAGTGGGAGGCACTGCTATATGATGATGGGGGCGGGGGGCTCGTGGGAATCCTGGGTTCCGTTCCTGGCCCAAGATAGGTGCAGGGGTCCACTGCCTGTAGTCCTGGCTAACTGGGAGCTAGGGTAAGAGCAGTGCAACATGAGGCCCTGTCAAAACTAGAGGGGGCCAGCTGGTGGTATAGCAGTTAAGGTGCTGGACTCCCACATGGTCAACCACAGTTCAAGTCCCAGATCTCATGACTTGAAATTCATGCCAGGTGTGTATACGTGCATGCGTGCCCAAAATCTCCAGGTAATAATGGAGAAGGGATTTCTTGAGAGAAGGATGGAGAATATGAGAGACCATAACTGAAAATGCAGGAAGTGTTGTTCAGAGAATTCAACTCATGACAAAGTCTAGGATCTGGCCCTGGAAGGCAGTGTCTGTAATAGAGGACTGGATCCATGAAGGAGGTGGAAAACTGGGACAGGTGTGGAGAGGGTCATCTCTGTGTGCATTGAAATCCTAAAAGAGAGGCCAGCAGGTGGCATAGAGATTAGGGCAGCTGGGTCCCACATGGCCGATGGCACGATTCAAGTCCCAGCTTTAGCAGCTTGAAAATCACCCTGGGTGCATATACATGCATGCCCACAATCCCAAGAGGAGAATGGAGAAGGGACTGCAGCCTGGCCATCCCCCCAGCAGGTCATTTCTCACTTTCCCTCTCTCTCTCTCTCTCTCTCTGTGTCTCTCTCTGGTGAGTGCATGTGCCCTATAGCAAAACTAACTGGATAACTAAATCTTAAAGCATAAGGACAGTTATGCAATGTTGGAGACAGCAATATCCAGCGTTGAAAATCTTTCTCCCCTGCAACCAAGGCATGAATCCCGCGAAGGCAGGTACTTGTGTGTCCATGTTTGCATGCACAGTGCCTGGCACAGAGAAGGCACTTAGTAAGCATTTGCTGAACAAATGCCTAGGCGAAGAGGAATGTGGCACAGCACACACTTGGACAGGTAAGAGTAACTCAGGGAGTTCCCTCCAGCTCTTACTTCCTTGATTCTGTTTTCCTGTGATATTTCTTCCCTCTTCCCCAGATTACAGTGGTTTTCTTTATCCAGTTATTTTTGTTCATCTGTTGTTTATAAGCCAGAGGGCACGTGTGCTTGCCAGAGAGAAACAAGATCCAGAAAGGGCGAGGGGTGAGGGGTGGAGCACTCCCAATCACTTCTCTCCCACTTCTCCATCCTGCCAGGATTTTAGGTACACACACACTCACACACACAGTGTTTTTTCCAAGATACCAAGATACTTGAGCCACATGGTTGAGCCACATGGTTGGTCATGTGGGATCTGGCTGTCTTAATCACCAGGCCATGGGGCGGCCCCTCTTTGACAGTTGAGTCTGCTTTGTTCATCTATCTTACGTATCCAGACATCTCAAGGCGCTACCAGTTAGTTAGTTAATTTCTTTTATTAACTCATAAACAATGCCTTCTCTTCTGGTTTGTTGAAGCAGTAAGTCAGACATTTGCCACAATGATGTCTGTCCAAATGTCTGGCCATAAAAACTCCAGCACCACGTTCATCTGAAGGGCACTCCCGACGGAGGCGGCTCGTGTTGCGATTTTCATCCACTGTACAGTATTTCAGGACAGCCAGCTCGGCCTTTCTCTCATGCTTATTCTATTTTTTAAAAAATAATTATTATTTATTTTTATGTTATTTATTCATTCATTTTTTTAATTTGACCAGAGAGACAGGGGGTCAGAGTGAGAGAGAGAGGTAGTGAGAAAGCAAGCCACCAGATTCAGGACTCGAACCCTGGTTGGCCATGTGGGAGTGTCCAGCACCTTAACCACCACGCCACCTGCTGGTCCCCTCTCTTATGTTTATTCTTCTTGGGAGTGGTAAGACTTCCTTCTTAGCACCACCACAAAGTCTCAGCATGAGACGAAGCATGGACTCCTTTTGGATGTTGTAGTCAAAGTATGACCGTCTTCCAACCGCTTCCCAGCAAAAATCAGTCTGCTGATCAGGAGGAATTCCTTCCTTATCCTGGATTTTGGCTTTTACATTTTCTATCGTATCCGAGGGTTCAGCCTCAAGGGTGATGGTCTTCCCCATAAGGGTTTTTACAAAAATGTGCACCTTGGTGGCAGTCTCCCCACAGATAGCAGACCAGAGAGGAAAGAGGAGCTACTTTTTAGACTCATCCCTGGTGGCTTTCGTGCTGGCAGCTCTAGCAAATACCATCACCCACATTACCACGCGCTGGCACTGTTCTTTCTGCCTGCTTCCTCAGTCCCACACCCAGCATCATTGTCAAATGTCTTCCATTTTCCTTCCAGCCGTACCTCAAGTTGCCCCACAGCCACTGGCTGGCCCAGTTTCTCTCTCATGCACCCTAAGTTCCCTCCTTTCTCTCTTTGCCTCTAAGCCCTATTAGGTATATATTGTTGCATAAAATATTACCTTAAAATTAGTTAAAAATTAAAATCACAAACATTGATTACTGTGCATGGGGTGGCTTACTGGGTGTGTCTGGCTTAGGGCCTCTCACAGGACTGCAGGCAGGAGTTGGCTGGGGCTGCAGTCATCCCAAGACTTGCCTGAGGTTAGACCCACCCCCACGCTCACCTACATGACTGTCAGAAGGCCTCAGGTTCCCACTGACCACCAGTCAGAGCCATCAGTTCCTTAATAGGCAAGCATATCCTCAGGGCAGATCAAGGTAGGCTGATGTCAGTCCCAAGAGCCAGTGAGCAAGAGTAGGTGCCCAAGAAAGAAGCCACAGTCTTTGCCATCTAAATTCAGGAACGACAACCCATCACTTCAACCATTTCTGTTTGTTAGAATGGATACATAAGCCTGATCTATACTCAAGGGGAGGGAATTACACCAGGGTGTGAATACTGGGGTGTGGGATCACTGGGGATATCTCAGAGACGGTCTAATACACTCTCTTCACCTCCTGGTTTGCCATCTAAAGGGTAAAACTGGCCTCTGCCTGAGCAGTTCTGATGACCTGCTGGTACCTTCAGGACATACCCCTTCAAGTATGCCCCAGTCCCCAGTCTGCGCTCCATCCCCATCTTCTGTCCTGTACTCCAGTTGCCGAGAAAGAACTCTGAATTATCTGGACAAGTTCCCTTCCACAGGCCACTCCTCTGGCCTGGAGCGCTCCCCTCCACCACAGGCTTCTCCACCTGGCCAGCTCCTACTCATCTACCAAGACCTGCGCTCTTGCCAAGTCGGCCTAACTCCCGTTGTCAGGCACGTCCTCCCTCTCAACCTCCCTTGGTGCTCTGTGCTGTCCCTTAACACAGCACTTACCACACCAAATCACAATTCCCTCCATTCGGATTTCTCAGTCTCAGGTGTAACACGCTCAGTTCATTTCTGACTGCACAGTGGGCTTTAGCAGTAGGTGGACCGTGCAACCACCCTTTTTAAACCCCTCCCAGAAGCCTTGCTCCCGGCCTGGGGAACAAGTTATATGATCTCACCATCTTCATCAGTTATTAAAATGCCAGAGAGCTGCCATTAAGCTACTAGGGTGCTACAAGTAAATACGTGTGCTGATACAAAGGCAACCCCGGTCACCGCAGGCTTCCTGTACACACAAGGAAGGGCTGGAAAGGCAGTGAGCGCGAGGCCTCTGAGCCCACTTCCCAGCCTCGGGCAGGTTAAACGGAACAACGCGCGCTGAGTGAGGGCAGGGTAAGGCAGAGAACAGGGCAAAACACCTTGGCCTGAAATTTTAAAATGTGTTCAAAATCCCAGAGTTTCTGCGTGAACTCAGCAGCTAGGAGGTCGTCCGAGCCAAGTCTCCGCATATCTTCAACGCCTTGTGTTTCCTCTCCAGCACTCGCCTACTTTGGAAGCGGAAGCGGAAGCGGAAGCAGATGAGCCTACTTCCGGGGCCGCCCCCCACCCCCGTTCCGTCCGGGCAGACACCAGGACGCCCTCCTCCTACACGGCGTTAGTCGGGGGCCGACCCTTCCCATGGGAGCCCCGCCTCGGGGAAGGTTCCCTTTGCTATTGGTGGAGGCCAGGTGGGCGGAGCTGCGCCGCTCCCTCTTTCAGCCAATGGCTCCACTCTTTCTTCCTGCTTGGTACAGTCAGTCCCTCCTCCTGGCCGGCAGAGGGCGCGGGAGGGTGAGACTCCATCTCGGAATGACGTCACTACACCGGAAATCCGCTTTCTCGGAGTTGGGGGTCCGGGCTGGGGATCGGGGCTGGAGATGCTGAAGCTGCCAGCTCGATGGGCTGCGATGAAAAAGCCGAGGCCTCCAGAGGAAGGGGCTTCTCGTACTCAGCGGAAAGCTTCCGAGTCCGCCGCACCCCCACTCCTCGGAGCGGAGGAGCGAGCCGGGGCGGGATGGGGGTGCTCGGTCTGAGGGTCCCCCGAGGCAAGTCTCAGGAATACCTGCGGCTCACAGATGGGGAAGACGAACCCGGGAGGGACGTGCTGCGTGTAGGCACTTGCTGGGGCGAGGTGGCCAGATTTAACAAATAAGATTCCGGACGCCCAAATGAAGTTTAAATTCAGGTAAACAATCCGCATATCTACCTACGCCGATTATCCAGTTTCAAGTTTAACTGGGTGTCGGATTTGTCTGACGAGTCTGCCCCAAGGTTACCTAGCTGAAAGGAAGAGCATAAAGAGCTACCGAGGCATCCCCTGCCCCCAGGCCTATCAGCTGGGTTCCTTGTAAGGGTAACCCTAAGGTCATTCGCAGGGCCCCAGCTGTCCCAGTCAGCGGTCTCCCCACTGCAGGGTGTGGACTTACTCAGGAGCAGACAAGGGCCCAGGTGCTGCCACCGTCCAAGATGAGTTTGTCAGGAGACAGGAGACACCTACTGGGCCAAGCGCAGACCCAGGCTCCAGACCATGCTGGCAGTAGGAGGAACACTGGGTCTGTGGAATTAGCAGATACGCAGGAAGACAAGTAGAACAATACATTGTTTCAAAATTATAACAAACTTGGCTCTTACTAGTGATTCTAGCAAGCAACACCTTCTATATAAAATAGAATGAGTGTTTCAATGAGCCAAGCAGAGAAGGTGGTTTTATAAACAGAAAAAGGCTGAAGCAGAAACAAAAAAAGTGGGTTGGTTGTTTCAGAGATACTTTCCATGTGAAAGTTAAAGCAGAGGGATTTCCTTATCATGCCAACTAAAACTGGCTTGTTCCCTGTTTTGGCTATTTCTCACTCCCCTGATATCTCAGAAGGTGAAATAAACAATTACTTTGCCCTTGGTGACAAGGCACTTTTAACATGAGTGACTCCATTTTGGCATGGTCTGTTGGACCTAGTGCAGGAACTCAGTCAAAACCAATGGTCTCGGGAACCAGCAGCTAGCGTAATGGCTATGTCGCTGGACTCCCACGTAGTCGACCACGGTTCGCGTCCCGGACCCGGTGGCTTAAAACTCACGCCGGGCGCGAGTGCGTGCGTGCCCAAGATCCCGAGAGGACAATGGAGAAGGGATTGCGGCGTGACCATCCCCCCTGGGGGGTGATTTCTCGTTTTCTGTCTCTATGTCTCTCTCTGTCTGGCGAGCACATGCACCCTATAGCAAAAACCTCTCCAAAAAAAAAAAAAAAGAGAGCGCGTTGTCAGTATGGCTTTAGTGAGGTGACAGTTGAGCAAAGACCTGAAGGGATGAGGGACGGAAATCAATGGGTGTGCTTGGGGTTAGAAAGTGTGCCCACATGTCACAGGAACAGAAGGGAGCGTAGTGCACTGGCCTCCTACAGGGTCTATCTTGCCTAAAATGTGGTCTTTACGCCCAATTCCTGTAAAATGTAACAACGTAAGTAGGTGGGGGTTTCTTTGAGTAGGGTGTTGAGAGAGAGCCTAGAGAAGGCGACATTCAGGCTGAGGCCTTGAAGATGAGAGTGATCCAGCCCTGGAGAGCCCGAGAGGCAGCCAGGGCAGAGGCTCAGAAGCAGGAAAGCACTCAGCAAAGTGAGAAAGGAGGTGAGAGGAGTGGGGGTCTGAAATTGGACTGTTCCTGTCTATTCGTTACGCAGTGTGTGCCCAAGCATGAGAGAGTGCCCGCGAGAAGCGCCCTTGACGGTCTCCCGCCACGGTCCTCCCCAGCCCTCCGAAGGCAGGGTCTCGGGCAACATGCGTGGCGTGTTTTCAGGTCGACTTCAGCTCTGAAGTCACGGCTGGCCACGTGCTTTGCACACTGCAGTTGGGCGGCTCCTGCCTGTGCTGCCCGGCTGGGCCCAGTGTCACTGTCACTGGCGTTGTGATGGAATCAGCTGAAGGTTTTCTTCAGGGGACTGACGGGTCGGGCTCGTGTCTCACGGAGATTGCACTGGCTGCTGGGAGGCTGTATCAGGTCATGACTGGGCGAGCTCACCCTCGCTTAGTTGCTCACCCAGGAGTGCCACCAAGAGGGTTGAAAGTGGAGCCGAGGGCTGAGCAGGACCCCCGCGGAGTGCCGCCCCTGGGTCTGGTTACAGCAGCATGGTGGGTTTCCTAGAGGGGGGTGACTCCCGCCCAGAGAGCGACCATCTGCAGCCTGAGGAGCCAATAGAGGAGACAGCTTTGTCCCTTTGCCTTACATCAGGCCCCCAGGCTGGGGAGTAAGGAAAGTGCCTGCTACCGCCCGCCAGGTCTCCTTCCCCTGCCTGGTTTGAATAGTTCAGTGATCTTCCCAAGGTCCTGTCATGCTTCCGACCGCGGACTCCTGGCTGCCGTCCCCAGCCCTCTGTGAGCGTGCTCCACTGTGAGCCTGAGGATTCGCAAGGACTCGTTTCCTGGTCGCCAGCATCTGCCACGGTGTGGCCACGGCAGGTGCTGTGCTTGAGGTGGTAGGATCCCACATGGCTGGCTGCACCATTCAAGTCCTAGCCCTGAGGCTCGACGGGCACGCTCGGTGTGTATGCCCACAGTTCCAAGGGGAGGGTGGGGACGGGATTGAGGCAGGGCCGTCCTCGTCCTTGGGGGTAACTAAAAAGTAGCTGCACAAGGAGTTGCCTTTCCGTGCAGCTCGCTGAGCCCCGAGTGATACGCTAGCCATGTTCCCATCTAATCCCCACAGGAACTCCAAGAGAAGGACACTCATCCGCATTTTACAACCTGAACAGACCGAGACAGGTCGAGCTCCATCTGCCCATCTGACATGTACTTTCTGAGCACCTGCTCTGTTCTAGGTGATGACACAGTTGTGAAGACAAATAGGGTTCCTGTGCCGCGAGCTCACATTGGGGGGCCTGGGAGATGTTGCGGAGATAGGCGTGCTCTGGAGTATGTGGGATGGTGGCAGGTGCTGCGAAGGAAAAGGAAACCAGTGAGGGGAAAGAGCAAGGCTGGAAAGTGCCGTTGCCTAGGGGTGGTCTGGGAAGCAGCACCTAAGGAAGCATTTGAGCAGGACGGGGTGCAGTGAGTGAGCCCCACAGACAAGCCAGGAGGGCCGTTCTAGAGAGGGGATGCTACGTGCAGGCCCAGCAGTGCAGAGTTGCTGGCGCTCCGTGAGGACTTCACGTTCCACTTTTGATGAAGTGGAGGGCAGGACCGACGGCGGAGGGAGGGCCTGTGTGGGAGAGGATGCGGTGCAGGCGGGCGCTAGTGGCGCTTAGCCTCCCAGAGTGAGCGGACGGGGAGGGCCGGAGAGGAGCAGGTGGGAGGGGAGGCCCCAGGCAGGCCGGGTCTGTAGAGACCGAGGAGAACCTGACTGCGAGGCGGCCTGGGGGCAGGGGTCCTTGCCAGTGGACCGCTGGGGGAGGAGAGCGAGGGGCAGCATCTATGCAGCCAGGGCTCGGGCAGACTCCCCTGTGCGGGCCGAAGCCCGCTTTTTTAATGCTTTTTTCTTCGTTCTCTTCGGAGAAGGATGGAAATAAGACAAATAACTGAAAAGGAATGGCTGTTAACTTATTCTCGAGTAAGTCACATCACGTTCCGCATCTCCGAGAAGTCAGTTTCACATTCTTGCAGTAAATGGAACGGGAACACCAACAGCTCAGTGAGGAAGCTGTCAAGCTCGTGCCAGCTGCTGTCACTTCAGAGGCCACAGAGGGCCCGCCTAGAACCCTGCCTCCGATGAGGTCCTGTTACCCAGATCACACTGTGGCAGCCGTGTCTCCCCGCGGTCCTGGCCCTGGTCCAGCAGGAGAGCCTGTGTTTGCCCCCCCACACAAAGGCAGCGTGTGAGTGGGCCCAGACCTGCCTGAGCATCTGCAACAGACATGGAAGCCTCCGGACAAATGTCACTGACAAAGGGCTGAGGCCGTGTGACACTGTCCGTGAAGGTGGCTTTGAGGGGTGGAGAAGGGGCCACAGAGAGCTCTTCCTGAAAACCGGGAGGGGCGGGGGCTGCAGCGTGACTACGCCCTGCTGTGGGGTACTTCCCTCCTCTCCCTCTCCGTCTCTGTCTCTCTCTGGGTAGTGCACATATTCTCTGGCAATTAAGAAAAGAGTAGTCTGATGTCTCTGAGACTCTTGATTTCTTGAATGCTCAGACTGTTTGTCAAAATACCAAAAATGGGTCCTGCTGGGACCAGCAGATGGCATAATGGTTATATCACTAGACTCCCAAGTAGGAACTGTGGTTCGAGTCCCAGACTCGGCGACTTAGAACTCACATCAGGCACATGTGCATGCATGCTCAAAATCCCAAGAGGAGAACAGAGAAGGGATTGCAGTGTGGCCATTCTCCCAAGGAGTGATTGCTCCTTTTTCGTGTCTCTGTCTCTCCACTGAGCATGCCCTGTGGCAAAAATCTCTCTCAAAAAAAAAAAAGGTCCTGCTGGGACCAGCAGTTAGCGTAATGACTATGTCGCTGGACTCCCATGTAGTCGACCACAGTTCAAGTCCCGGACCTGGTGGCTTAAAACTCATGCCGGGCACATGTGTATGTGTGCCCAAGATCCTGAGAGGAGAATGGAGGAGAAGGGATTGCAGCATGGCCATCCCCCCTGGGGGGTGATTTCTTGCTTTCTGTCTCTCTGTCTCTCTCGTCTGTCTGGCGAGCGCACACACCCTATAGCAAAAACCTCTCAAAAAAAAAAAAAGTCCCACCTAGAAAAGGAGCTCCCTGCTTCAGGCCTGCTGTTCACTCCGGACTTTCAGCACCTGACCTCATAGGTGGCCTCAGAGCCGCACGGGTGCTGAGACCTGGAGGCAGGACAGCCAGGCCTGTTCAGAGAGACACTCAGGCGAAGATAGAAAATGCCCCATGAAATGTCCAGAACAGGCAGATCCGGAGTGTCGGGAAGTCCCCAGATTAGTGCTGTCACGTCAGGGAAGGGAGAGCGACTGCTGATGGCCCAGGGCTTCCTTCTAGGGCAATGGGCGAGTTCTACAGTGAGAGGGTGACAGCCACATGGCCCTGATGCACCGCGAGTCGCTGACTCCCGCACTTTGAAAGGGTGAGTTCTATGGAATATGAGTTGTGTTCCGTTGGTTTTTAATTATGGAAGAAAAGTCTTTAGGGTTCCCTGTAGCAGCTGAGAGAACTCTTGACATCTGAACGCCTTTGTTCAGCTGCTCACAGCGCCCGGGTGCGTAACCTGGACCCCGGCAGCTAAAGGAGCCTTTGTCCTGAGAACTGCTGTTCTGAGGAGACGGGCCGCTGGCATTGGGCACAGCGGGACCCTGTGGCCAGCCCCACCCCAGCAGTTACTGCCTGCAGCAGCTGACCGCCACGTGTTTGCTCTCACTGATGGCCACTTCCCAGGAGGACGAGGCGCAGGGTGGGGACAGACCTCCTGGACACCGTCCCGGCTCTTCGCCCTCGGTGTGAATTTCCAGAGCTGTATCAAATAACCAGTGCCCTGGTCTGGGCCAGGCTTGGCTCGATGCTGGGTTCACACACCGGCCACTCACCAGTCCCGGGCTGTAGGAGGGAGGACGCCCCGCAACCCTGACAGCTCACCCTTGCTCATGGCACTAGGGTGGAGGCCTGCGAGATGTGGTGGGAGAAGGCAGGCATGGGTGGAGACGCCCGGGTTGCAGCCCGGCGTGGGCGGGAGCAGGACGGAAGCAGTGGGTGTGGGCGCGCTGTTGTGTGTGTGTGGGGGGGGCAGGCCTAGCTCAGGCCGCTTTGCGAATCAGACTGTCGGATTCCACTGGAGTAGCAAAAGACCTAAACATTTATTTGCGACATATTTACAGACGTGGGGAGGAGACCGAGGGAGACCCCAAGAACACCCGCACCCGGCTGGCCAGGTGGTCGCGCTGCAGAGGAGGCAGACACGCTGGAAGGGACAGGATTTATGTTGCGTACTTGAACTACAGCGCGTGGACGACTGGTCCTACTTACAGGGCAGGGACGCTAAGGTGGAGGCGGGGCACAGAGCGGGCACCGGAGTCCTGGCCGGCCCACCTCTCCCAGAGGCATCTCTGTGGCCCCGCGGGGTCTCTGTGGGGACGGGAATGGGGCCGCTCACATGATGCTCGCCGGGGTGAAGGCGGGGCCCACACACAAGGTGTCCGTGATCTCCCAGCCACAGGACAGAGGCTTGCACGCCCCCTCGGCGTCCTCGTCCTGTTCCGCAGGCAGCAGCTGGCCTCGCAGCGCTTCCCTGGGGGCAGAGAGCTGTGCTGGAGGCAGCCAGCATGAGGCCCACAGGCCTGGGGGCTCCCGACAGGCCCTGCATAGGTACAGCCAGCCCGAGTCCCAGAGCCCAGCCGAGGGCCGGCCTGAGAAGGCCCCCAGACTTGCCCACTGCTCCCGCTGGGGAAGGAACCCGTCGGTAGGAGCCAGCTTGTGCCGAGCGCCTTCCTGCGGTATCTGACTGTATTTCCCAAAACCCGAGGGAGGGGAGGGGCCTCGGCCCGTTTATGAACGAGGACTTTGAGAGCTGCAGAGGCGTGACCTGCCTGAGTTCACACCCCCAGTAGGTGGCAGAACCACGATCCAGCCTTCTTCCTAGCCCAGGTTTAGGACTTGAAAAGAAAATTACCTCCTGTCCCCTCAAACAACCCAGACACGCTCCCTCTGCGTCCCCATCTGGCCAGCTGCCCAGGCACGGTGCAGGCCTGCTCCCGCACCAGTCAGCTCCTACGGAGCCCAGCTCCTGCCCGCCTCACACTTCCACCTGTCTCCATCCCCACTGACCCACCGTCTCCAGCCGGGACCGTGTAGTCTCGCTGACCTGCCCACTCCACTCAGGTCTCCCTCTCCGGAACACCAGCAGCTTCCTCTGTTCTAAGGGCCTGCAGGGTCCGGCCCCTGCCCATCTCCCACTGCGATCCCAGCCACACCCGGGTACATCCGGGTCAGTCATCTTTCGGCTTCTCACGCACCCCGGGGCCTGTGCTGCTGCTTATCCCTCTGCCCGGCTCATCAGCCCTCGCCCGGCTAGTTCCTTCCCAGCCTCAGGTCTCAGCTTCGGTGACCGAGTCGCAGGGGAGCAGCACACAGCTGTCCCCCACACTGCACCAACTGAGAGAACAGTAGGGGCCCAGTGTCTGCGTATCAGACACGCCCTCAGCCTCAGCAGGGCTGGGGACACAGCTGAGTGGCTCACAGCTAGCGCCCCAGCAGCAGGCGGGCACCAGTGGGCACTCGGCGGGGACAGGCGCTGGGGGGAGGGAGGGGAAGAGGAGG